TTGTGATATGTTGTAAAATGTTGTATGTCTGTTAATGTTTGCCTCCTTTTATCTTTAAAATTAAAAAAAAGGATGTAATACAAGATTTTTGCCTTATTAACAATTTAAAGAATTCAAAAGAAAAATACTATGTATTATGAAAAATATCACAAATCAAATCATTTTTTTAAATGATCTTTGTTTTTTATTTTTGTTGAAATAGCTAAAAATATTCATGTCTCATTACAATGCCAAACTTGATTGATATATTAGGTAATCTTGAGACCCAAACTCCTTAGTTTACCCACATAGAGATTTTGGATTGTCTTCTAATTACTGCTTTTAAAATAGTTTATATATAACTAAGCTGTTTCATATGTTAGAAACTTTCAGTTACTTGCACTGAATTTAGAAAAATTCATTTGATCAGTCATTGCCACCTTTAACTTGTCAATTTTGAATATAAAGTTACGTAAGTATATGTATATATATGAATTAACATAAATAAAAAGTGTAGATATATGAATAAATATGCCTAGAATGTAACCCTATAAACTTTTACATTTAAAATGTGAAATGTAATTGCAATTACATTTCACATTTTAAATGTAAAAATAATGTAGCTTCAAGGCAATTTGATAGTCTTATGCTGTGTATAAGCTGTTTTAGATTGCATTTCAAAAATATAGAAATTTACCTATAATTTTTAAACTATTTGTTCCCCTTGAACATCTGCCTGTTTCCATTCTTTTCTCTTTGCAAAAATTCATCCTGTAATTTTGAAACAGGGGACATTGTTCCAATATCCAAACCCAGAAATTATGAACTGCTGATTTATTGATCTGTCTGCTCCTGAATATGTGTGTGTGTTTTATATTAAATAATGGTACCACTAAGAGGTGCTAAAAGGTGACATGACATTTAAGGGTAGAGCTGTGAGACTTGAAGTGTGTCTGCTTGGGATCTGAATCTGATCTTGTTTCCAACTCAGGTTTGTGAGTGTGGGGTGCAGGAGGGGTCTTAACAGCTAGAAAATGAAGACACTAGGTTTTTAATATACAATTTATTAAACATATATTTATACTTTATTGAATTGCAGACATCCAAATGGATATTCCTCATCCCAGGACAAATTTGCCGACTGGGCATCCTCCAGCATCACCAGGTAAAATATGTCACAAAAGAAGTAAACAGTAATCAATTCATATTCCCACCTGCAACTGAGAAATAATCAAAAATGGTTTGAGGTGAATGACCTGCGGTATTGCAGAGACTTGTAATAATTTGGGGTGTCTTTTAGAGTCTGCCCTAGGAAAGGTCCTGATCTGAGTAGGATATTCTTTGCTACCTGAATTTCTGGCTTGTGTGGACTGAATTTTGTTCAAGTTACTATGAAATAACCGAACACCAGAGAAAGGGGAAGGGATCGCAATGCAGCCTTCCTAATAAAACCACATGACTGAATGAGTTGAGTGGTCTTGGAAAGTTCACAATAGAGACACATACAGAAAAAATATCAGATTGGAAGTCTGAATGAGATAATTTCTATATTCGTGTCCTGTCACCATAATATGAAAACAAATGATTTTGTATTTATAACTAGAAAACCATAAGAATAATGTAAGTGTAGTATCTACTGGACCATAACTTCCATTAAAGCAAAGCCATTATAGCCCAGAGCCTCCACCCAGGATGACACAATTAATATTCAGTACATATTTGTGGATTGGTTGGTGTGCATTACTAAATTACTAGAGAGACATGAATATGAAGAAGTAGGAAGCTGAACCAAAATTGTTCATGCATTAAGAATTATTTAATTCATGTTAATTAATGGATAACAAACTGTAATATGTTTAGTGTAGTCACATATTATGGCTTTCATAGGTCAGAATCAAGTATATTTTAGAGACATTACATTCTTCAAACTTTTTCACAGAAGTCCACAGTAAGCATATATTGAAGTACACACATTATTTTAAATATTTTTAAAGTCAATCTTTTGGAAATGATTATAGATACTTATGATACCTTTCCTAGCCCTACAGTTGTCATCACATTTAACTTCTTTCATTTACGTCTTGCTTCATAGTCTATATGTGCTTTTATTTTTTTATTTTACAGAGAATAAAAATTAAAAAGCATTAAAAGTGATACAGAATTTCAAAACAAGATGATAGAAAATCAGCAATGGTTTTTAAATTGCATATTGTTATCTTCAAAGATCTTGGTCAAATTTTCCTAATACTACAAAATCGAAGCATGGCACTGTTGGTCATACCATTGTTTGAAAAAAATTAGAATTTAAGTCCAGTAACTCAGCTACCTCCTGTTATCTAAAAGGACATTTGTTTAGAATAGGGTTCTGCAAATTTTCGCTGATAATGTAAATGAAGTGAAAGTAAATAGTCTAGTTCTTTCTGGTGATATTGGGTATTGAACCCAGGGATTTCACAATGGATTACATGAATTACATCCGCAGCCCTTTTTTGTACTTTGAGACAGAATCTTGCTAAGTGGTGAGCGGTCCTACCTGTGCTCAAACTTGTGAGCTTCCTGCTTTCCCCAAGCAGAACACTGGGCACGTAGGTGTGTGACACCACACCCAGCTTACTCGGCTTGTTTCCATTCAGCTATCACACAAGTGAAGAGTGTCCATGGAAAATTCATTTTTCTTTTTAATGTGTACTTAAACACATGTATCTATTCTTCCTCAAATTGCAGACATACAAATGGATATTCCTCAGCCAAAAACAAATTTGCCAACTGAGCATGCCCTTTACTGTCCACTGTTAGGTCTCCCTGAAAGACCCCCGCCCATTGCAAAGAACAAAAAAGCACTTTGGCTGCACTTTCACACTTCCCAATGGGCCCAACCTACCACCGCCCCCAAAAGCACCTGCTGTCCTCACACAAAAAATCCCACAATCTTACAAAGTGTCCTTGCAAGTTAACAGCCCTAGCCACAAACCCCCCCACTCCCCCCACTCCCTCCCCCCCCCCCCACCCCCGCTCCTTTGGCTGTTCTGGCCCACAAACATCCTCCCCGGAAAAACCCGTAAAAACTCAATGCTTTGCACAGCTCAGGGGTGTCTTGGTCCACTAGGCAGCCCACGGTGTTGCTCCCCTACCCAATAAAGATGCTCCTCATGTCAGACGGTCTGGTTCAGTTCTGTGTGGGTTTCCTGTCCAATCATTTGGAGTCGAAACCCGGGAGGGACGCCAAGGCGCCTGCCAGTCCCTCCCGACCGGGGACCCTCCCCGGGTCCCACCAGGTCCACGTCCGGCCGCCTCTGAGCAGACCACGAGCCTCAGACCAGCCTCATTGCTGACACCTCCATCCAGACACGGTGCCAACTGTAAGTTCTCTCTTTCCCTTTTCTTTTCATGCCCCGTCGTTTCCCCCGACACCGTTCTAGGCGCCACCAACAGACGCCTTCATTTCCTCCCCTTCCCGATCTCCATACCTCCTCTCAACTGCCCTCCGACAGTCTTCCGCCCTCTCCCTTTCTCCGCCACCTCCCCCTTATTCTGATTTCACTTCCCACCTCACGTCCAGTCCCGTCTCAGCTCCCTCTTTCACTAATACTATCCTTGTTTGTTCCTCTCTCTCCTTCCATGCTGTCCTCCGAGAGAGGCCCCCTCCCTTTTCCTGTCCTTGCCAACTCTGACTGGCTCCAGGATAATCTCCTCCAGGAGACCTTCCCTGAGTTCACTCACAAACAATTCATCTTATTCTCCTTCTTCCTCCACTGCATCCTCTTCCCTATTTCTCTCTCCGATCTTCTCATTGTTCTTGATCTCGACTGATTTTCACTTTCCCTTTCACACGCAATCTGGTTGACCCTCACCTAGGACAGTTCGCTCTTTTCCTGGGCTTCAAGATCCTCGCTCCCTTCGGTCTTGTTCCAAAGCCCTGTCGACAGGCCGAGTCGTCCTCCCTCGTTCCAAGATCCCCTCCCCGACGGGAGACCTCCGCTCGGGGTGCTTGGGTCTCTGGGTCCATTTGGGACTTCTCCTGGTCAACCGAGATTTCCTGTCTCCTTCTCCTCTCCATCTCACTCTCCCTACTCTTTCTCACTATGGGAAATTCTGCCTCATGCTCCTCCTGTAACTCCTCAGTTCTCAAATGCCTCCAGTCTCTCCTGCGGGGCCCACTGGGTCTTACAGAGCCTAATGTCACACGTCTCACCTTTCCCTACCAAAAGACTTGGCCCCAGTACCAGCTAGACAATGGCTCTGTCTGGCCACCTGAGGACACCCATCCACAGACACTTCTCACCAGGTCTAAGTTTCCTCTTCATGTCCTCCCTTCCCCGTCCTTCCCCTCCTGTTTCCCTCCTTACTATTCCTCCTTTCCCCTTTACCTTGATTTCTTTGGCTCCTCCAAATCTGACTTTGTTGCCTGCCTCTTTCTCTCCTTCGGCTGCCTGATTTCTGATGGGCTCGACGGACCCCTCCCCCACCCTTGGCAATCCCTGGGCAACTTTCTCAACTGAGTCTACTCTAAATTCCTTTAGGGCCTTTTGCCCTCTTTGACCCAGACTGTGTCCCTCTTTTTCCTCCTCCTTACCCTCCTCTTCCTGACTTAGCCCTTCCTCTTCCTTTCTCTCCCTTCCTCTTTCTTTCTCTCTTAGAAGGCCTCCCTGTTGCTCCTCTCACACCTCTCCGATGGCTCATTCTCTCAGCTTCACACCCCTGGCCTCTGCGGCCCCCTCCCAAAATCATGTCTACATGTCGAGCTGCTCCTTTCCTTCTTGTGACTCCATCCTTGACTGAACATGTCTGCTCGAGGGTGGAGGGGTGCATCTCTCATCCCATTTGCAACTTCTCTTGGTCAACAGTGGTCTTCTGTCTCATTCTCTGTTCTCTCATCTCTCCTTTGGTCATCATGGGCAACACCTCCTCCCTCCCCTACTCTCGCAGTGCCTCTGTGCTTTACTGCCTCAAGTCTATTCTCCACGGCCCCCTCAGCCTCTCTGATCTCAAAGTCAGATGCCTCTCCTTCCTCTGCCAAACTGCCAAACCACAACACAAAATAGATAATGGGTCTTTTTGGCCCCCCGAGGATACCGTAGACCCCAACATGTCGCCGCAATAAAAGACGGTCAAAGGTACCCTATGTCCAAGCTTTCTTTGCCCCTCGCAACTGACCCCAACTCTGCATTTCGTGCTCTCCCCAAGAAATCCTTCTCGCCAAGTCACCTGCCTCCCGATGTCGCATGCCAGAAGACACCCTCTCTCTTCCTGCCTTTCCTGAGCCCTTTGATGATCCAGCTCCTCCTGACATTCAACACCAGCCCAGGCCCACCCATGAGCTCCCTCTGCCCCAACACAGGCCCAACCGGAAGCACCCCCTCCATATGGGACCCTCAGTCCCTCCTCGCCAGCGCTGCTCCCCACGTCACCCACTCCTCCTACCCCCTCCCCACCTCCTCTTTATCTGTCACTTCCACAAGCCTCTCCATTGCTCTCTTCTCCCTCAGCATCACACACTCACCCCAAGTCCCACTCGGGGCCACTTTCAGCCTTCCTCACCCCCTGGCCTTTTCCCACTATGACAAATAGAGGGAGCCAAAGGCTTAGTTTATTTCAACAACCTTGGTCACTCCCTTACCTCTCTCAATTAAAAAAATGCTTAGGCTCCTTCACATCAGATCCATCTACTTACATTAAGGAATTCCAATACCTAACCCAGATGTACCAACTTATGTGGAGTGATCTCTATACTCTCCTCTCTTCTACCCTCACCCCCAAGGAAAAAGACACAATCTGATTAGCAGCCCAAGGTCATGTGGACTAACTGCACTGCACGGATCAGACTCTCCCACCGTGTAAAGAGGCAGTCCCCCGTGTTGACCGCAGGTGGGATTATCAATCCGACACCAAGGGCCCCGAGCCCAAGTCCAAATGGTTGTCTGCCTGATTGCAGGACTCAAAACGTGTGCCCACAAGGCAGTTAACTGGTACAGACTCCAAGAGATCACTCAGAAACCAACAAAAAACCCTGCAGACTTCATGGCACACCTCTTGGAGGCACTCACCAAGTTTATTCACCTTGATCCCTCATTAGATAAAGGACAGCTAGTCCTCAATGCCTCCTTTATTTCTCAATTGGCCCCAGATATAAAGAAAAAAACTAAAGTGTTTTGAGGAGAGTCCCAA